TTCACTAATCATAACCTCCAGGCTAGCCAGAGCCGGGGGAGGAAATTTGGACTCCCAGCTCATGGGGTTCTGAAATGGGGGGACAGGGGACACCCCCTTTGGAGGGACCAGCTGGGTACCTGCTAGTCTTCCAGGCATCACGAATTGACAAATGCCCCCTCTCCTCTCCCTCCCCTCTTCTCTTGCTACCTCTCTGAGACTTACCACAAGTTAGAGCTGGAAAGAATGGCAGACATCATCTCTCCAAACACGGGTGTCTTCCACTCCAGCCCTTGGCTTTAGTGAGGGGCACCTGGCCAGGAGGAGTGCCTGGCTGTGTAGCATGCCAGCAGCAGTTACCAAGCCAGGTGAATCATTATGTGGCAGCCTCCACTGAACCACCCTCCCCCCTCCCAGTGGACCAGGCACTCTATCATGAGCAAGTTCGCAAAATGACCTCATTTGCTCCTGCCTTCACATCCTTGGTCTCCCACTAATTACCCACGGATTATGAGTTCACTTTCTGGCCCTTCGTTTTCCCACTTGTAACCTGGGAATATTCATGGGTCACTGTGAGGACTGAATGAACTTAAACATGCAAAGATCTTAGAACCATGTTTGGGCCATAAAAATCACTTAAGAAGCATGAATGGGAAATTAGATGTCCACCTGCAGCTTGCTTAGGCTCATGGTGAGACGAGATGCAGATAACCGGAAACCCAGGATCTCAAATACAAACTCGGCCTGGCCATCGACTATGGCCTCACTTTACCTCCTTAGGTCCCCGAGGGAAGCTGGGCACTAACGAATACTCTCCTGCAGGGATAAGGCAGGTGACATGGGGGGATGGCCAACTGTGACATAACAGGGAGCAGTGGGGACAGTGGGAATTTGGAGAGCCTGTGCCTATCTTCAGGGGGGCAGCCAGGACTCAGCTCCAGCCAACTGCTGCATGGTGGGAGCAGCATGGCTAGGCCCGTCAAGTTTTAGAGAAAAGCCAGAAATCTGGATTTTTAGGTGGCATTTCCCCATTTTGAAATGCGGCATTAACTAAGACAAATGTTAGTACAAAGGGAACTCCAGATCATGCAGCTTGTGTTGCCTGATCTGGACATAGACAGCATGTCCAAGCCAGTGTGCACCTGCCATTTTCAGGTCTTCTGTCCCTAATTTGCCTGCAGTCTTCCAATGAGCTGATCAGTCCACTTCAAAACCAGTCTTTGACTTAGAGCAGGTGGTATAAGACCAAAACAGTGAAGCAGCCCCTTTCTCTGTGGACACCCACCCTCACCTCCATCCCTGAAATGGGGGTGAGGAAAGGGGAAAGCAGGGAAATGAGGGGACTCTCCCTAAAGGACCATAGGCCCCTTGGCCTCATCCACGTCCTGCAGGTATTCTTCTGATAAAGAAGGCAGCCCAGACTTGGTGGTGGGACCCAAGGGCAGACTGGGCGCTTAAGCCCCCATAATCTCCATCAGTCACCTCAAACGAACATCGGTAGCCTAAATGACTACCTAAACATGGGCTGGCTATGCAAAGTTCAACTCTGAGGCAAGCTTGCTCACAACGAGACACCGCCTCACACCTACCCATCTGACAGACAGATAATAACAAGTGTCGGTGAGGATGTGGGGAAATTGGAACCCTCAGACATTGCTGATGGGAAGGTAAATGGCGCAGCCACTCTGGGAAACAGTCTGGCAGCTCCTCAGAAGGTTAAACACAGAGCTACCCTGTGGCTCCTGGGTACATACCCCAAGAGAAATGAAAATATCAATTGACACAAAAGCTTGTTCAAGAGTGTTTACAACAGCATTACTCATGACAGCCAGAAGGCAGAAATGACCCACGTATCCACCATCTGGTGAACAGATAAACATACAACCGAAATTACTCAGCCATCAAAAGAAATGACGTCTAGGGGCGTCTGGGTGGCTCAGTAGTTAAGCGTCAGCCTTCGCTCAGGTCATGATCCCGGGGTCCTGGGATCGAGCCCCACATCGGGCTCCCTGCTCAGCGGGAAGCCTGCTTCTCCCTCCCCCACTCCCCCTGCTTGTGCTCCTGCTCTTGTTAGTTCTTTCTCTGTCAAATAAATAAATAAAATCTTAAAAAAAAAAAAAAAAAGGAATGATGTCCTGACACATGATACCCAACGTGGATGACCCTTGAAGACATCAGATTAAGGGGGAAATATTGATGAAAACAACCGCATCTGATTCCTTGTGTCTGCCATGTCCAGAACAGGTAAATCGAGAGGAGAAAGAGGAGATTCATGGTGGCCTGGGGCTGGGGTGTGATGGAAAGAGAAGGGGGGAAGATAGCTAACGGGTATGGTTGTTCTTTTTGGTGGTATGTTCTTGCATTGTGGTGATGGTTACACAACTCTGTGAATATACTAAAATCCACTGAATTGTACACTTTAAGTGGGTAAATTGTATATGTGAATTACCTCTCTGTAAAGCTATTAACAACTACAACAATAACAACAACAACAACAACAACAAAAGAACTCTCAAACTAAGATTTCTGCCCCTAATCACCTTCTATTTAAAAAGTCTGCATTCGGGCGCCTGGGTGGCTCAGTCGTTAAGCGTCTGCCTTCGGCTCAGGTCATGATCCCAGGGTCCTGGAATCGAGTCCCACATCGGGCTCCCTGCTCAGCAGGAGGCCTGCTTCTCCCTCTCCCGCTCCCCCTGCTCCTGCTTGTGTTCCTGCTCTCGCTATCTCTCTGTCAAATAAATAAATAAAATCTTAAAAAATAAAAAATATAAATAAATAAATAAATAAATAAATAAATAAAAAGTCTGCATTCATGCTGCTCTCTTCACATCAGCCCCACTAGAGAAGACAGGACAAGTGTTCTAAGAAGATGATTTTCCTTACACAAGGGTGACTAGCGAGGCTGGTTTGCCCAGGACTGTCCCAGTGTTAGCCCTGCAAGTGTTGTGTCCCAGGAAATCCCTCCTTCTTGGACAAACTGAGATGGTCTATCAACCTAGTGGCAACCCTTTCTCATAGCACAGGAACGCTCTGCCCTTCAGAGCTGCCAATGGCTCAGATGGAGTCTCCAAATAAGTAACCCTTCTCTCTCTGGGGTATAAATCATCCTTGAGCTCCCCATAATCGTCAAAAGGTATTTTAATTGTTGTTTCCATTTTACAGATGAGGAGACTGAGGTTCAGAGAGATGCAGTAACTTGCCAGAAGCACACAGGAGCCAGGAATTGAACCTGAGTCTTTTTCCAAAGGTACCCCCTCCATTCGTTATCTTGTCTCTCATCACACCACTGGGCGGATTATCCAGGAACACCCTCAGATTGTTCTTGCCCCCTTGGGAAGGGAGTCAGACATCCAGACAGAAGAAGCATGAGTTTTCAGCTCATAGTCTTCAGCTATGGGAAGACAAGGAGACATATACAGCCAGGCAATTAACAGCACAGACTCTGGAGCCCAACTGCTCGAGTTCGATTCTGGGCTCTGCCACTACTTAGCTGTGTGACCTTGGACAAATTACTTCACTTCTCTGTATTCTCTGTACCTCGGTTTCCTCATATGTAAATGGGAAAAATAATAGTATTGTGTGTGTGTGTGTGTGTATCACATAGGATTATTATAGGAAGTAAGTAAATCAGTTAGTGTGAGAAGCTTAGAAAGGAGGAAAGGAGCCTGGCTCATGTCAAGTTTATTAAATAAATGAAAGTAAGCACAAATTCATAGACCCAGAATTGGAAAGAAATCAGATAAGGCCTAACAAAAACCAGGTAGTGGGACCAAATTATGGAAATAAATTCCGTTATTCTATTCTGTTCCTTTCTGTGAAAACATTTATGGTTTAGGAATTGCTGTAAGCTCCCCAGACCATAGACAAACCTTCAAATGTATCATGTAGTGGCAGTCTGGGAAGCCCTACCCAAATGGGATGACATGGTGCAGGGTCACAGGCCCTACCCATCACTGACTGGATCCTGGGGGATCCCCTCATAACATACCTGCCCACAGGGCCAGGAGAGCTGAATAACCTCCCGGGGGCATCACCTATCACTCAGCTCTGCTCTCTGCAGTAGGTGTGATCGACATCAATTTACAGATGTGGAAACCAAGGCTCAGAGAAGTTTGAGAACTTGCTCAAGATACAGTTAATAACATGTAGAGTTGGGATTCAAACTTAGGTGGAATTCTGAAGTCTCTATACTGTATTGCCTCCAGGTATTAGTTATTATTGCTGTGGACAAATTACCAAACTTAATGGCTTAAAACAACAAACATTTATAATCGTACAGTTCTTGAACACCAGAAATCTGGGAGTGGCTTAGCTGGGTGGTTCTGGTTCTGAAAGTCTCATGAGGTGGTAGTCAAAGTGTTGGCCAAGGCTACCGTCATCTCAGAGCTCTGCAGAGGCTACTGAATCTGCTTCTAAACTCAGTAGTGAGGTTGTTGGCAGGCTTTAGTTTCTTGCTGGCTATTGGCCAGAGGCTTCAATTCTTTGCCACATGGACCTCTCCAGAGGGCTTCTCACAACACGACAGCTTACTTTCCCCAGAGCAAGAGATTCAAGAAAAAGGAACAGACAAAAGAGAATACCCCAAAACTGCAGTCTTTTATAAATAATTCAGAAGTGACATACCATCACTTCTGCCACCTGATATTGGCCACACAGACCAATCCTAGTACAGTGTGGGAGGGGACTACATAAGGGTGTGAATACCACCTGCAGGTGCATTCCCCAAATCAGCCAGCCCACCCACACAGGTGAAGGAAAATCAGTTTTCCCAGTCTTGGTAAGTAGACCAGCCAAGCCAAGCGAATTTCCACCCGGGAAAACTATCCCACACCTGCGTCCTCCAGACTCCACTGTCCTAGAGTCCCCAGGCTGAGCTATCATCCAGCGATCGCGTCCTATGGGCCCCTCCCCATGCCGCAGCACCAAAACCCGGGCAGTCATCGCCATCCCGAAGGACTACAGCCCCCAGCATGCCCTGCGGCGGCATCGGAGCCACGTGACGATCTTCTCCGCGTGTCGCCGTCAGGTGACTTGGGGAAGATGGCCGCGTTGACAGCGGAGAATTTCGCGGCGCTCCAGAGCCTGCTGAAGGTAAATTGGAGGGGTGGGGACATCGTGAGGCGGGCCTTTGTCCCCAGGCCTTGAGACGGAATGGGATTTGGGACCAAATGGACCCTGATTTGGAGCCATGACCCCGCTACTGCCTCTCTGGGTGACTGCGTCGTTGGGCCTTTCCGAGCTTTTAGAAAGCGGGCTCGAAATTAATACCGTCCTGACAGGATGGTGGGGGCACAGATAAGATAACGGACGTGAAGGTGCTGTACAGATGCCCCCTACTAAAGGGCTCTGGGGCTGGTGTTCAGGATTGGCGTGTTGAGGTGGTAAGTGCTAGATCCACGTTGCCAGTTCCCCATTTCATCCCGCAGCCCCTCTTCGCTCCATGGTTGAGGAATCTCCCTCTTCTGCTTCCTCTCGGCCCCCTGAGTGAAGTGGGCGTTCTGTTTCCTGAGTCCCGGGTTTTCTGTACTTGCTTTGACCGGTGTAAAGGCCCAAACACTCTCCTGATAATCATTTGAAAGGTTGTGAGGCTTCTTAAAACCAAATGAAACGATGGACTGGAATTACTTGTTTCATTTCTGATTTCCCTTATGGAAGAAGGGGCGGCTTTATCTTCCTGTGTAGACGTGATGCGTCTATTTGCTTGTTTTCTGCCTTTCTTGCAGAATGTAAGATCCAGTTGGGACTTTTCTTTTTTTGGTTTTAACTCCAGATGAAGAGGGTTGAGTTCGTAACACTAAGCAATTCATGGCACGGCATCATCGTTGATTGGTTCGTGGAATGGTCCCTCCTTTGTTTTAACAGTCCCAGCAGTGTTCACTTGTATTCTCCATCCCTAAAAGCAGCTACTCTATGATATTCACAAATGTATCCCCAACAAGTGTATCTCAACTTCTGGCACATAGCATGTGCTCAGTACATAGCTGTTATGTGAATTACTGAATGAAGTAACAAAGCTGAGATTGGAAACCTATGGCTCTCAGCTCACAGCCCTGGGCCTTTCCACCCTCATCCGTTCTGCCCACTCCCCACCCAATGCCTGCCTATTCATGGTATGGACTTTTTTAATACTTTAAAAAAGTATTATTAATGTGTAACACATAAAAGCACAGAAATCATAAATGCACAGCTCAGTGATTTATTACATACCCGTGTAACCATCAGTATGGTCAAAACCAAAATATTACCAGTACTGCAAAGTCTCTCTATTGTTCCTTTGTTACTTCCCTCACTCATCCCAGTAGTAACCACTATCCTTGCTTTTAAAATCAATTTAATATTGCCCATGTTTGAACTTCACATGAATGGAATAATACAGCATATACTTTTTTTATTCCAGGCTTTTTTTGCTTGCTATTATGTAGCAATAGTTAATTCATTCTCATTCCTATTCTATGTATTTTCTTTTTTAAAAAAAATTACTTAGGGGTGCTCAGTCAGTTAAGTATCTGTCTTCAGCTCAGGTCGTGATCTTGGGGTCCTGGGATCAAGCCCTGCATCAGGCTCCCTGCTCAGCAGGGAGTCTGCTTCTGCCTCTCCCCCCACTCTTGCTGTCTCTCTCTTTCTCGCTCTCTCTCAAATAAATAAAATATTGAAAAAATTACTTAAAGTTTTTATTTTGAGGTAATTATAGATTTACATACAGTTGTAAAAAGTAATACAGAAAGGTCCCATTTACCCTTTACCCAGTTTCCCCCTATAGAAGCATCTTGCAAAACTATAGTATGATATCCCAACCAGGATATTGACTTTGATACACTGAAGATACAGAACGTTGCCATCACTACAGGATCCTTCCTTTTGCCCTTTTATATCCACATCCACCTCCCCTCTGCCCTCACCCTCTCCTTACCCTCTGGAGGGTGGGGGGCTGGTAAGAAGAGGTAGAGGGAGAGAGAGAGAGAATCACAAGCAGGGTCCATGAGTGCAGAGCCTGGCTTGGGGCTCAATCCCATGACCCCAAGATCACGGCCTGAGCTGAAATCAAGAGTCCAATGCCCAACTGACTGAGCCACCCTGGAGCCCCTCTACTTCCCTTTTTAATTTCCCTTTTTAATAAGGACACTGGTCCTATTGGAATAGGGTCCACCCTATGACTTCATCTTAACTAATTACATCTGCAACAATTCTGTTTCTAAATGAGATCACATTTTGAGGTACTGGGAATTGGGACTTTAATATATGAATTTTAGGGGGACACCATTCAACTCATTACAGGAGCTTTTGCAGAGCAAAAGTTTTAATTTTGATGAAGTACAATTTACTAACAATTTTTCCTTTTATGAATTGTACTTTTGGTGTCATGTCTAAGAACTCTTTGCCAAGCCATAGATCTCCAAATTTTCTCCTCTTTTTTCTAAAAGTTGTATAGTTTACAATACATTTATGATTACGTTACATTTTACATTTAAGTACATGATCAATTTTGAGTTAATTTTGTATAATGCATGTAAGACAGTTTGAGGGGTTCTTTTTTTTTTCTTTTTGCCTGTGAATGTCCAGTTGTTCCAGAACCATTTGTTGAAAATGCTGTCTTTCCTCCATTGAATTGCTTTTGTAACTTTGTCAAGAATCAGTTGGGCAAATATATGTGGGTCTATTTCAGGATTCTTCGTTTTGTCCCATTGATCTATTTGTTTATTCCTCTGATAATACCTCACAGTCTTGAGGACTGTAGCTATGTAATAAGTCTTGAAATCAGATTGGCTGATTTCTCCTACTTCATTCTTTATCAGAATTGTTTTAGCTATTCTAGTTTCTTTGCTTCCTATATAATTTTAGAATGATTTTGTCTATGTTTAAAAAAACCTGCTGAGATTTTTATAGGAGTTGTGTTAAACTTGTGTATCAATTAGGGGACAGTTGACATCTTTAGTGTGTTGACTCTTCCAATCCATGATGTATCTCCCCATTTATTTAGATCTTCGATTTCTTTCATCTGTGTTGTGTAATTTTTTAGCGTACAAGTCCTGTACATGTTTTGCTAGATTTATACCATAGTATTTTTCTTTTTTTGAGCAATTGCAAATGATATTATATTTTAATTTTTTTTTTAAAGATTCTATTTATTTGTCAGAGAGAGACACAGTGAGAGAGGGCACACAAGCAGGGGGAGTGGGAGCGGGAGAAGCAGGCTTCCCGCAGAGACAGGAGCCTGATGCGGGGCTCAATCCCAGGACCCTGGGATCATGACCTGAGCTGAAGGCAGACGCCCAATGACTGAGCCACCCAGGCGCCCCTATATTTTAATTTTTATTTATTCTTTTAAAGTTTATTTATTTTGGGGGCACCTGGGTGTCTCAGTTGGTTGAGTGTCCTACTACTCTTGGTTTTGGTTTGGATTATGATCTCATGGTTGCTGAATGGAGCCCTACATCGAGCTCCACGCTCAGCAGGGAGTCTGCTTGTCCCTCTCCTGCTTGTGAGTTCCCCTGTGCGTGCTGTCTCTCTCTCAAATAAATAAATAAATAAAATCTTTTTTAAAAGTTTATTTATTAATTTTTTAGTAATCTCTACACCCAATATGGGGCTCGAATTCACAACCCTGAGATCAAGAGTTGCATGCTCTTCAGACTGAGGTAGCCAGGTGCCCCTGATAAATGTATTTTTAATTCCAGTGTTTACATGTTCATTGCTAGTATATAGAAATACAACTTAATTTTTATATGTATCTCATATGTGCAAACATGGTGAACTCACTTATTCTAGTAGTTTTTTTGTACATTCCTTGAGACTTTCTGTGTAGACAATCATGTTAGCTGCAAATAGGGACAGCTTTTGTTTCTCCCTTCCTGATCTGTATATATTTTATTCCTTTTTCTTAACTTATTTCAGTGGCTAGAATTTTCAGCACTATGTTGAATAAGAGTGGTAACAGCAGACAATCTTGCCTTGTTCCTAACTTTAGCATTTCACTATGAAGTAAAATGCTATCTCTAGGTTTTTTGTAGATGCTGTATATAAAATTATGGAAGGTCCCGTCTATTCCTAATTTTATGAGAGTTTTCATCAAGAACGGATGTTGAATTTTGTCAACTGCTTTTTCTGCATTGATTGATATCATGTGATTTTCTTCTTGAGCCTGTTAATATGGTAGATTACATAGGTTTGTTTGTTTGTTTGTTTTAAATACTGAACCAGCCTCGCATCCCTGGAGTAAATCCCACCTGCTTATAGTGAATAATTCTTCTTATATGTTGCTGAACTCTATTTGCTAATGTTTTTTAAAGGGCTTTTGCATCTATTTTTATGAGGGATATTGGACTACAGTTGTTGTTTTTTTCTGTTTTTGTACAGTCTTTGTCTGCCTTTGATGTTAGGGTAATACTAGCTTTATGAAATGAATTGGAAAGCGTTCCATCATTTTTTGTTTCCTAAAAAAGATTGTGTAGAATTAGTTAATTCTTTCATTAAACGTTTGTTAGAATTCTCCAGCAAAAGCATCTGGGCCTGGAGATTTCTTTTGGGGGAGTTTTAAATTATGAATTCAATTTCCTTAATCATTATAGGGCTATTCAAATTATCAGTTGCATATTGGGGAACTGTGGTAGTTTGTGTTTTTTGAGGAATTTATCCATTTTGTCCAGGCTGCCAAATTTATGTGTATAGAGTTGTTTGTGGTTATTCTTATTTTCCTTTTGAAATCTTTAGGGTCTGTAGTGATATGCCCTGTTTCATTCCTGATATTGGTAATTTGTGTCTCCTCTCTGCTTAACTTTGCCAGTCTTACTAAAAGTTTGTCAATTTCATTGATATTTTCAAAGAACTAGTTCTTTGTTTCATTGATTTCTCTCTTTTTTTTTCCCCCCTGTCTTCAATTTCATTGGTTTCTGCTCTTTGTTGTTTCCTTCCTTCTTCCTTTGGGTTTATTATATAGCTTTTCTTTTTCTATGTTCTTGAGGTGGGAATTTAGATTATTGATTTGAGAACTTTTGTCTTTTCTAATATATGTGTTTTATGCTGTAAATTTCCCTGTCAACACTGTCATGGCTATGTCCCAAAAATTTTGTGGGTTTTTTTTCATTTTTATGTATTTAGTATAATTTTTATAGTATAATTTTTAAAATTTCCCTTGAGGCTCCTCTTTGATCTGTGGATTATTTAGAAGTGTGTTTAAGTTTCCAAGTGTTTGGATATTTTCTTGTCATCTCTCTGTGGGTGATTTCTAGTTTGATTCCATTGTGGTCACCAAAAACACACTCAATATGATTTCAGTTCTTTCAAATTTGTTGAGGTTTGTTTTATGGCTCAGAATATCATCTATCTTGGTATATGTTCAGTGGGCACTTGAAAAGAATGTGTATTCTGTTGCTACAGGGTTGTGTTCCATAAGCGTTGATTAGATTGATCAATGCTGTTGTTGAAATCTTCTGTGTTCTTGTCGAATATCTGTCTAGTTGTTCTATCAGTTGTTGAAGGACAGTGTTGAAGTCTCCAAGTATATTTGTGGGCTTGTCTGTCTCTTCTTTCAGTTCTGTCTCTTTTTTACCTCTCATGTTTTCTAGCTCTCTTGCTGGGTGCATACATAGTTAGGATGTCTCCTTAGGAGATAGAACCTTTCATCGTTATATAATGTCCCTTTCTGCCTCTGGTAATATGCTGTGAAGTCTACGTTGTCTGATATTATTGTAGCCACTCTTGATTTTATTTCATTAATATTTGCATGACATATCTTTTTCCATCTCTTTACTTTTGTCTCTATCATTATATTTGAAGAGTGTTTCTTATAGGCAGCATTTAATTGAGTCATATTTGCAGCTCATATTTAATTTCCCACTTACAGCTTATGTAATTATTGAATATTAGAGCTTAAGTCTGCCATTTAATTTTTTTTATTTGTTCTTTTATGTTTTTTGTTTCTTTTTACTTTTTCTTGCCTTCCTGTGGGTTATTTGAACATATTTTTGGAATTCCCTTTTGATTTATCTGTAGCGTTTTAAAATGGATTTCTTTTTATAACGTTTTTAGTGGTTGCTCTAGTTATTACATTTATATATGTAACATCACAATCTATCAGTGTCATCATTTTACCAGTTAGAGCTGAAGTATAGAAACCTTACTTCCCTTTATGTCCCTTCCCTCATTTGTAATATAATTGTCTTAAATATTTCCTCTGCATACATTTAGAGCCGCATTGGACAGTGCTATAATTTTTGCTTCATCCTTTAAACAGAATTTAGAAATTCAAGAGAAAGAAAGTCTATTGTATTTACCCATATTTTTGCTTGTTGTGTTCTGTCTTTCTTCCTGATGTTCCAAGGTTCCTTTTATTGTTTCCTTTCTGTTAAGAGAACGTCTTTAGTCTTGTGACATATTTTCATAGTGTTCTTTCATCTGAGAATGTCTTGATTGCTTCTTCATTTTCTGAAGGATATTTTTTTGCTGGGTGTAGGATTCTTGGTTGACAGTTCTTTTCTTCCAACACCAGAGAAATATTGTGCCATTTCCTTCTTGCTTCCATGAGTTCTGATTCGAAATCTGCTATTATTCTAATGATCCCTTATAGATAAGATATTGTTTCTCTCTCACTACTTTCAAGATTTTTTTTCTTTGCCTTTAGTTTCCTGGAGTTTAATTATGGTGTGTCTTGGTATGGATTTCTTTGGATTTATCCTGTTGAGAATATGCTTAGGTTCTTGAATGCATACAGTTATGCCTGTAGCTAAACTTGGAAAGTTTTCAGCCGTTATTTCTTTAAGTACTTCTTCAGCCTTGCCCTCTTTTATCCTCCCTTTCTAGGACTCCAATGACATGAATGTTAGATTCTTTGGTATAGTCCCACAGATCCCCAAGGCTCTGTTCATTATTTTCAGTCTGTTTTCTGTGTGCAAACTGGGTGATTTCTAGTGGCTCTGTCTTCCAGTTTACTGATTCTTTCCTCTGTCCCTTTCATTCTGGTGCTGAGCCCATCTACCGAACTTTTTAATTTTGGTTATTGTATTTTTCAGTTCTAAAATTTCCATTTTGGGGCACCTGGGTGGCTCAGTCGGTTAAGCGACTGCCTTCGGCTCAGGTCATGATCCTGGAGTCCCGGGATCGAGTCCCGCATCGGGCTCCCTGCTCGGCAGGGAGTCTGCTTCGTCCTCTGACCCTTTCCCCTCTCATGTGTTCTCTCTCTCTCATTCTCTCTCTCTCAAATAAATAAATAAAAATCTTTAAAAAAATAAAAAAATTAAAAAATAAAATTTCCATTTTGTTCTTCTTTGTATCTTCTGTTCCTTTGTTGGGACTTTCTGGTTTTTTTATTTGTTTCAAACATGTTTGTATTTAGGTGCTGAAGCATTTTTGCCATGGCTGCTTTAAAATCTTTGTCCAATAATTTTAACATCTGTTATCTTGATGTTGGCATCTAATGATTGTCTTTTTTCATTCAGTTTGAGATCATGCTGGCTCTTGGCATGATGAATGATTTTCAGTTGGAACCTGGGCATTCTTGTGTTATCGTCTGAGATTCTGGAGGGTTTCTGCCTCATTACTACCAGATGGAGATGAAAGTCCAGGTTCTGCCCTTGGTTCCTACTGACATGCAAAAGTGGGGGTTCCTCATTACTACTGGGCAGGGGTGGAAGTTCTGGCCCCCATGTAGTTACTATTAATACCAAGGGGTGGTGGGACTAGCTGCCCGTTGGTGGGGATGAGGTCCCAGCTCCCTCCTTAGCCTTCTCTAACACCACCCGGGTGGGGTGTTGGGATACCTCGTTGTAGCCCCAAAAGGGTGGAAGTCCGCATTCCCCACTCAGCCTTTGCTAACATAGGTGGGAGTGGGGCTACAGGTTTTTCTGTGGTGTTTGGCTCAGTAGAGCAGTTCTCACATAACAGTTTTCTGTCTTGCTAAGCTTTCTTGGTCCTTTGGCTAGAGAGAGCAGGTATTTGTCGGGAGTTGTTTGTTTGTTTTGTTTTTGTGTACCCATTGGCGTTCTGGGTTGCCCTGTTCTTTAGCTCGAAGTCCGGGATATATGAAAAACAAGAAAATCCAGGAGACTCAGCACCATGTCATTTCTTGTTCTGGAGGGGGAGGCCCACAGCAGATCTGTCTTCTCCCCATTCCGTCTCGGAGTGGTCTTACGTTTGTTCTCCACATAGTGCCCAGTGCTTTCAGTTGTGCTGAGAAGGGAAAGTAAGACAAACGACATCTATTTCACTGCCCTGGAACAGGAGATGTCCTGTGCACCTTTAAATCTTGAGTCTCAAAGGTATCACACCATGACTGAGACAGTATCATGTTCTGAAACATGTATTTTCAGAGTCTGAGTGGTTTTTTTTCCTCCCCATCTGTGAATTAATTCATAGGCCTCCTCAAAAGATGTTGTCAGACAGCTGTGCCAAGAGAGCTTTTCCAGTTCAGCCCTTGGCTCAAAACAACTCTTGGATATTACATGTTCCAGCTTGTCTGTGACCCAGGAGGAAGCGGAGCAAGTAAGTATGGTCAGAAATGACCTTTGGCCACTGGCTTCTCAGCTCATTAGTCTCTTTCTTAACTTTCCAATCATTGCCACATTTCAAGGAAATTTTTCCCCTGAAATGTCTGTTGACATTATAACAGACTTGAAATAGATTTTTGTTTTAATGCTAGTGAACTTAAAAGCTATTGTCTTTGAACCTTCACTTCCTTATGATAAATGAGGCAAGGATGGGTGAACTATACCAAGAATCAGAGGTCCCGTCCATTTCCTTTTCAGACTTGTTCCCTAGACAGTGTGGACAAAAGCCAACCTTTCTGCGATTTTCTTGCCCTCTAACTTGCCGCTGCTGATAGATTGTCAGCCAGATAGCTTAGACAGACTTCTTTGGGGGCACTGGGTAGAAGCTCTGAGGCCTGAGTATGATTCAGGGGACATGCTGCTGAACCCCACCTGACCTCAGCTGGTGGCCAAGAAGAAGAGTGAGGTGACTCAGTTTATGCAGTACTCACAGCCTTCTCTTTTTAGGGCAAATATGTTTCTAAAATAGGAGTTCATTCAAACAGGCCTGCATTATTATTATTATTACTATTTTTAAACCAGGGCTCGGTTCATTGAAATCAGCTGTAGAACAGTAAAAGGCAGCATCCAGATTATGGAAGTGAGTTGAAGATTTAGTTTGGCTTCCCCAAAAGTAGACCCTGAGGCTAAGAGTGGTTGCAAGTAATTACCTGGGGAGATGAGTCTAGAAAGCGCAAAGGAGGGAGTAGGGACAGTCGAACAGGGAGGAGAGACAAAGCCAAGAAAGAATGTGTTGATGACCGGGCACCGCTGTGGGCAGCGGGGCTCAAACTTGGGATCCTGTAAGAAACCCTGGGGAACACACCGCAGAACTGTCACCCTGGAGGGCAGGGAGGCTGGGACCTCACCCCTCATCAGTGGAGGGGTGACATCCCCTCACCTCTCACCTTGTGCCTCTGCAGCTGAGCGGCCCCCCAGGGCATCAGAGAAAGCCCTAAAGCAGTTCCCTCCAGACAGTCGTGGTAGTTTCAGCTGAGCATTGTTGCCTTCACAAGCTGGCCGCGGGCCGTCCTTGGCTACTGTCTATTGGAAGGACGTAGGGTGGGCAGGGCAGTGCCAGGCCCTCCTCCTCCCCAGGGGAGTCAGCACAGCTCCCCCGGGATCCGTTTGTTTTCTTCGCCCTCCTCGGTGACAGCCTAGGGGCAAGGACACCCCGCACTTAGAGCCCGAGCCCCGCCCGAGCCAGTGCCTCTGGCAGCAGGTCCGTGAGCTCAGCTTCAGGCTCCGGCAGGTGGCACGCGGCCCCGCTCAGGGGAGCCGCCCACGGCTCTGGGCCCCCGGGGGTTCGTGCAGAACTCCCAGTCCGGTCGCAGTGGCCAGTGCAGCGTTGCCTAGTAACACAGCTGACTTGTCACTTCCCTCGTGTTCCCAGGGAACAGGCTAGAAAGTGAACTGAAGGTCAGATTCTGTGCACAAGGAAAGGGGATTTATTAACCCTTCGCTCCCAAGCAGAAGTTTCTGGCACGTTGGCAGGTTCCTGTGTCAGGCAGCTACCCCTATCTTCTAAAGCAACAGGTGAACTTAGAGGTGGGCCGGGGCACGTGGGCATCAGCATCTGGGACCGAGGCCTCAGGACCCATGGGACTGTTGGGACGACGTGGCGGCGCACGGCGAGCCGTGTCCCCCGCCGCGGGGGGAGAGAGCCCTGCCGCCTGCCCTGCTTCTCACCACGGGCCTGTCCTGCAGCTGCTCCAGGCTCTGCACCGCCTCACCAGGCTGGCGGTGTTCCGTGACCTGTCCTCTGCTGAGGCGATCTTGGCTCTCTTTCCTGAAAATTTCCACCAGAACCTCAAAAACCTACTGACGAAAATCATCCTAGAACACGTGTAAGTGCTCATTTCTTGAGAGTTGCTTGTAATGCTCACATAATGATATTTTAGGTCAATAAATACTTTCAGTGTCCTTTTTAGTGGCTAAATATATTCTTTATATGGAGACATTACATAACATTTAGTTAAGAAATTCCCTGCTGTTAGATGTTTAGGCTATTGGCAGTTTTCACTTCAGTTTACTGTGGAAACGTTGCTCACGTGCTTAATTATCTGCTTACTGGTTAAAGACGAGAGTGAGGCTTCTGCTTTCTGTTCTCAAGTTGACCATCAGAAAGATTGCACCAACTGGTTCTAGGAGGAGGACGTGAGCGTGCCCCTCCCCCCACACCTTCATCGGCCCCGAGGGAGTCGCTTCACATTTTCCCCCAGTTCACAAATGGCAAATGCGCCTCACTTCAGTTTATGTATCTTTGATACTAGTGATGTCAGATATCTTTTTCATGTGTTTAATTGGTCATTTTTGTTTCTTTTGTGAATTATCTAGATATTTTCTTGGAAAATCCTTTGAATACATACAATTTAAGCAGAACTGATTAGCTACTGGTCAGCAGCAGGCTTACCAGAATTCTCGGGCAGTAATAAGAGATAATCCCTGCTTGTCAAGGATTTTATTGTTTATTTAGAAACTTCTCTCACACATGACCACATTTTATCTGCCTCTGCTTAGCATCTCACTATGACGCTCTTTGCTGTAGCATTAGATGGGTCTGTTTGGGTGTGTTTTGCATAAAAGGCAGTACTTTGTGGAGTAGATGCTCAATAAAAGAGAATTGGTTGACTTTTCCTGCTTCATCTCTGAGAACGGTAACACAATAAAAACACAATGCATTAAGCCTCTTCTTTCTTTTTGCCCCCCTAAGCTACGAAAACTAACAGCGCTTATGGCCTTAACATCACTGAGCTATGTAGAACAAACAAGAAAGTGCTTCTGCCACACAGCGGACGTTTCTGTGGTCCTTTCCTGTCAGGGAGTGATGATAGGCTCGAGGATTCCAGAAGGGGTAGAGGCCCAGGTCCACAGGCCTCTCTCATGATCAATTCTCATCCCTTTTCCATTCTTTTTTCCTTATCTTTCCCTCTTAAACAGCTCTACTTGGCGAACGGAAGCCCAGGCACATCAGAGTGAGTATCAAGGACCCGCCTTCCTCCCTACCCTTCCTTCCTGGCCCCGGCTCGAACTCTGCCAGGTGGCCAGACTTTGTAACCGAAACTCAGTGTGCATTAACCTCATCCCAAATTCGTCTCTCATTTTGTGCTGGCATCTGGAGGCTCGTGTGTGCAGGCAGAAGCCTGGCCATGCGCCCACCATGAATCAGTGCCAAGTGCAGGCGGCACGGAGCATGGTGAGGAAGGCCCCTGACTTTGTCTCCCTCGGAGACTTGTCCTGTGGCTCAGAAGCATGACCAGCCCTCCGGGCTGCCTGTCCCAGAGTAAGGGCTTGGTGAGGTGAGCGGCAGGGGCTCTGAGCTGGCCCGTCTCCTTCACAGTCTCTCTGCCGCACCTGGTCGACCTGGACTGGAGAGTGGACATCAAGACCTCCTCCGACAGCATCAGCCGCATGGCCGTCCCCACCTGCCTGCTGCAGATGAAGGTGCGTCCACTGCCAGGCCCGTGAGAAGGAAAGAAGGGGCCGCGGCACCCCCGCGCGCCATCGAAAATACCAGTCTCCAAAGCTCTGGGACCTCTGACCCCATAGAAAAAAATTCGGCACCTCCCAGATGCGGTCTCTGTTTGTCAAGTACATGGTCACTACTGTACTAACATGTTACAGACATAATAAATCATATACCGGAAGTAGAACTTTTAGAAGGATAAGACAAACACAAAACACAAGTTTTAAAAAGGGTTTGCTGCTCCCTGAAGTTTACCTTCTACACTAACGGGAAAGTTTAGCTTGCACGGTGCGGGCGTGCCATCAGATTCCAGACTGCCTTCTTGATAATTTTGGTGTCCCTCGGGCAGCTGCTTGTCCCCTTGACTGTGCTGCCACAGTTTGTGACGCGGCTGAGCCGGAGCTCCCGTGCGCGGCTGGGGAAGCGCCCGTCCGTTTCCTTGTTTGCACACTCTGGCCTCCCCAGTGTTACCTTCAGTCTACAGATCTTTTCAGGGATCTTCTTAAACCACATTGTCTATGGCGAGGGCTTGTTTAGTGATGCCGTATTTACGTAGCCACATACCCAGAAACTCAGCACCTGTAAGAAGATGAAAAAGTAAGGGTGCCTCTAACAAGTTTTTAAACTCTAGTAGAGTTGACTTTTGTTTTTAAAGAAACAGATCTAACTAGGAGCTGTAATGTTTTTCCTGCGTCCCGGTGGATCCTCACTAGACCTAGAGCCCCCTCCGTCAAGTACCCATATGGGCCCCTGCAGTATCTCCTCACTTGGATGCTGAGAGTCAGGGGTCCGAGGGGTGAGTGAGCCTTGGCTTCTCCCGTACCCGCCCTGAGCACTGCTCTCCCAAGCCTCTGGGAATCTCCTTCCGTCTCCTCATTTGCTAAATGACGCCAGGGCTAGGACTCTGTGTAGCTCTGAGCAAGAAGCCTGTCTTCAGAGGTTCACCGGAACGGGGGACGGCTGCCAGCTCCGGGGCTCACCTCCAGGACGGTGGGAAGAGGGACGGCTCTGACGTTTGGGCCCTGTTCTCTTTTCAGATCCAAGAGGATCCTAGCCTGTGTGGAGACAAACCCTCCATCTCAGTGGTCACTGTGGAGCTGAGTAAGGAAACTCTGGACACTATGCTAGACGGCCTGGGCCGCATCCGCGACCAGCTCTCCGCCGTGGCCAACAAATGACCCCAGCCGGCTGCCGGGCCCATGGCCGGGCCCCAGCTGCCGGCCAGCGGTGTGCGCCTCCCAGCCCCCGGGTCACCCCTGTGCAGCAGCTGCGGCCACCGGCAGGGTCGGCAGACAGGCCGGGGGGGACGGCGAGGGGGCTGCCGTCCGGAAGGCACAGCTGCACCGGGAGGAAGCGGCCCTGGCCCCGCGCTGTTCTCCTCCCTCGTCCTCTTTCGTCCTGAAGCTGGTGAGCAGAAGCCCCCATCTCTGGAAGACGTCCTCACCACTGTGGCAGTGTGAGGGGGCGTCCGCACCGTCAGGTGCCTCTGTGTGGCTGCCTGGAAGATTCAGGCCCACGTTGTGGAGCTCATCTAAGAAGTTCCTTTCCAGCACTAGGTCTAATTAGCCCGTTTCCAGCCCTGGAGCACAGGGAGGGAATCACGGGGCTGAGGCCAGCAGTTGGCGCTTCTCTGTCACAGAAGCCGGGCAGGGCCTGTAGAGCCCTGGGGCCCCCCGCCGGCCCAAGTCCAGAGCCTTCCTGAGCCCCTCAACCGTGCGGGCCCCCTTCCAGCGTAGGGAGTCTGGAATGGGTGAAGCCACAAGGCCCGTCCTTGATATAATGCCAGGGGAAACAAGTGGGAGTGATGGAAATAAATAATCGTTCTAAAAACTTCATGACTCCAGTCACGTTTTTCGAAGCTTCTGTCCTTAACCTGAGTTGGTGCTTTGCGCCAGCGCCGCCTCTCATTGGGAAAGATGACCCCAGCTTCTCATTGCCCACTGAGCTCGTGAGCACCATGTGGCCTGAAAGCAGGCTTGTGGACCTCGCCACCGTCCAAGCGTTCGTCTGTCATGTGGAGCCGGAGAAAGCTAGGCTGACAGGCAGTGCGTGCTTGTCACGGGGGCTGCAGGGACAGTGCTCCGCAGAGCTGAGCGTCCCTGTCACGTGCGCGCCGCCTCATGGTCCGCGTCACCCCAGGGCCACGGCGCGCAGCCGGCTGGCCGCGCTTGTCTTGGCGGCTCCGGGCGGTGTGTGTGCACGAGGGGAGGGTGGGCGGAGGAGGCAGAGCCCTGGGGCCAGAGGATGGGCTCCAGTTGGGCTGCCAGGGCTGGAAGCCAGCTCTGCCTCTCAGTGGTGAGGGGCTGGACCCTGCCTCTCAATTCTCCCCCTCCCTTTCTTTTAAGATTAAATGGGGATAATAATAGTACCTCCTCTGTAGGGCTTCTGTGAGGATTAAATGCTGCCGCGTCCCTGAAAGCACTTATTAGCACCGTGAGGGCGGATAAGAAAGGCTCGATCAGGTTTGCTCTGATTCTTAAAGGAAAGGAAGGTGGAAAGCCCTCCGCAGTCACCGTTTCACTTACTGTCGCAGGGTTGGTGCGACGGTGAATGCATTATCCTCTCTTTACCGATGAGGAAATCAGCTCATTGAGGTTAAGTCGCCTGCTGGTAAATGGCCTCATTAGGACGTGGGCCCAGATTTTTCTCGCTTTCTCTCTACCACACAGGACTCTGCAAGGGACGTGGAGTTCTGTGACTTTAGCTCCATTTGGAAAATACTGGAACTGAAGTAGAGATGAGAAAACGTACTCCTAAGACACTAGGAATGTCGAGAAAAAAAATCCCGAGCTCTTCTTTGCTGTTTCTTGGAAGCCGAGCAACCTTCTGTTAACATGGCAGTTCTTAACGTTTTGGGGGCTGTGTCCACTGATAATCTATGAAAGCTGCCTATCCTTTCTGTAGGAAATGAACATTCCATTTTTTATATTCAGTGACAAGAGTTTGTGGACCCCGGAAGTCAGCCCACTGTTTCCAGAATGAGAGCCCCTGGTCTTACTGTCAGGTTGAGTATAGCCTTGTGAATTCAACCCCTTTGTTTTCCTTCTAGTCCCTGTGACCCACAGGCCCATCTCCAAGTCCCTGTTCCCTGGGCCTCCCAGGGGCATCCATAAGAAAGTAACCTGGAGCAGCATAGGTGTCTGGGCTGTTGGGCATCATTCCTTCAGCCACATCGACCTGAACAGAACCATCTGGGTGCATGACATACAGAAGGCGTTCAATAAATACCGGAAAACTCAATGACTCTTTGCTACCCCTCACCCCACGTGCTCACTTAAGGGGTTTGTTTTCTACTGTTAGGGAGGATGGATCGTTTGTGGATACCATATTTCTAGTTGGCCTGATCCTATCTCCGAAAAACACCCTAGTTTCTATCTATCGATCTCAAAGCCAGTTCCCTCATGCAGTGCTTGTCTGGTTTTCCAGTAGTACTTTGTGCAATGGACAGCCATCTGCAAACTGCCCTTCCCTTAGCACATGGCAAGGTGTGGATGTCCAGACTCCATCCACAAAAGGGCAATGATAGATCTCTCACTGGTGCCTGTGCTTCTGGCTGCCCAGCACTTCCCACCCACCAGGCCGCAGCGGAGAGCGTATTTCTCAATGCTCATCAACGTGCATGTCCTATAGATTGTCTCATGACCGTATATGACCCGGATTGGGCCAATCTGAGTCTTTCCCTATGACTTTTTCTGCCGGAATCTGCAGTGAAAACCGTCTCCTGCCTCTGGGCTCTGGTAATGAAGCCAGGATGCTTGGGTTCTTCCCGCCACACGGAGAAAGCCCATCTGCAGGGGGAGAGGCCAGCTCAGAGCAAGGCAGAACCCAGAGGCTGGGAAGAGGATCAGGAAATCCAGTGTGCCTGATGCCAATTCATCTTCCTCGTAGTCTTTCCTAGTGTAAAAATGGACCTGGGATTTGTTTTTATTGGGAATGGTAAGATACACACGAAAATGATTGTCAGGAACAAGAAGTTTATACACGCGGATCCCTAGAATCAGGAGGCATGGCACATCACACAAGGCCATGTGGGGAAAGACCAGGGTTGGTAAGGAGGCAGGGAGGGCAAGGGGATAGCGTGGCCTGGAGCCTTTATTGGGGTTTTCACAGGAAGCAATGGCCAAGGCAGAATAGGTACATTGAGTAAGCTCAGGATTGGCCAGTTGGAATGATTTGGGCAGGCTCTTGACTACACGAGGGGTCCCCAGTTGTGCAGTACCTGGTCCTGGGGTGACTTGGGGCAGGGGGACTATTGTTCGGTGTGTGAGAGTTTGATAAAAGACATAGTTGGGAGGGGCACCTGGGTGGCTCAGTCGGCTAAGCGTCTGCCTTCGGCTCAGGTCATGATCCCAGGGTCCTGGGATCGAGCTCCTTGCTCGGCGGGAAGCCTGCTTCTCCCTTTCCCACTCCCCCTGCTCGTGTTCCCTCTCTCAC